AAGAATTCCAACTGTTCCTTGAAGACAGATTCGTTCATTTCCCCCCCTGGCAGTCCATGATACATAAGTCAAGGAGGACATAATAAAACAAATTTGATAAGGAGAAATAATAATAAAAAACACAACATACTCAAGAACCCCTACAGTCCTTTTCATCCTTATTGCTCTCGCCCACTCCAGAGTGTGTGAGCTACATGGTCTTCTAGCCTGTTTCCTTGCAGCCTACTCATTGAAGGTGCACTGGAAATGCTTTGAGGTACAAAAGGACAGCGCTCATTCTTATCCTTCAAGAATTTACCACGTAGTTTGGAGAATGAGCTGTATAACCTCCATGGTGCCAGCCATCACCAGCCTATGCATCCTGACGAAATTCCTTTTTCTAGTAGCTCCCAAGTTTAGATGACTTTGAACTCTACATTTTTCCCTAGGTGGGAACTTAGTTGTCTCTTAAAGTTTAAATATCAGTTTAGGGACCAGCAGGAAACAGATGTCACATTCAGGTTGGAAAATTAATTCAGGATTGTTTTTCAGAGGTGTGGTCAAGGCTTAGGGAAGTGGTAAGGGGTGTCACAGGATGTGCAGCCGCTCTTAGAACAAAAGTTGTCCAGAATAGACGGGGATATAGGGAGAGAAAAGGGACATTCATGAGATAGTCAAAGTCCTTGCCTCTAGAGTCCTCAACCAGTGTTCCTATGTTAGCCTGGGTCCTCCACGAAGCCGAGGTCAAGACAAGGTTGAATGTGCGCAGGTCTTTCTCAATGGGGCTTTCCCTGTGGACCCTCATCATTGGCAACATCTCATAGAGTAACGATGCGGTGTGCTTTGCTCACAGAGCTATTTGCTGAATCTGTGAGAAAGAACTCTGAGAGAAATTTGTTTACAGTATGAAAGATACAATAGACACATGATTTGCATCTGCGGTATTGGCATAGCCTGCAGATCGGCACTTTGCTTGGGAGTGCAAGGGTTTTCAGCTCATTTTGATAAGTGATGCCCGAAAATTAAGAGCAAGTCCGCATCTGTGTACTCTGATCCGAAAATAGCCCTGAAGTACATAGTCGGAAGAGACTTCCGGCAACAAATGCTTGAAGCTGTCCACGTTTAACCTGAGATTAAGTAGCATCACTCCTAGAAAACTGTGAGCTATTTGAGATGAATGGCTACTACATAGCACAGTTATTCAAAGTAATTTCCTGATGCTCTCTGAAAATCTAACTTTATATGGATAATAGTGGTAGAATAGCATGGGTTCTTTAAGAAAGGGCTCTCATGATGGTGACCCTTTACAAGCTTTGGAGGAACAAAGGTGACTGTGATTAATGAATAGTGTATGAAAGACAAATAAAATTTCTTAAATAAAATTATTAACGTTAAATAAGAGATTGGTAAAATAAAAATGTTTCTACTGTAGAAAGGTTTTTTTTTTTTTTAAAGTACAAGGATTTTATTAGGCAACTTGCCCATAAAAAAAAATGGGGAGGGAGCTTGGAAAGGCTGTGAGAATAGGTCTGGCTCCCAAGTGAAGGAGCGTCTAGCAAGGTTGGGGAATTCTCAAGCCAAGTCACCTGTGAGAGGAATCCTGCGTCTCCTTTGAATGGTCCTGCCTTAGTAGCCCTGAAGCTGCCAGTCTTTGACTAAGAACAGCCTGTAGGAAGCATGGCCTTGGCCCAAATGTGATAGATTTCAGAGAGCAGCAGCTTGGCCCTTGATCAATTACGCTGCCTGTGAATGGAGACCTGTGAAGTGCGTCTTCCTGGCTGTCCAGTACCCCCAGTTGCTGGTCACCAGAGATGCAGAGTAACGCTGAGATCTGAGAGAAAGGACCCAGAGACTAACCTCTCAATAACCTCTCCAGAGTTTATTACAAAGGCCTGAAGCAACCCGCTTTGTGCCCAGAATCCCATGAAATCTCATAGAATTAGTTCCGTGTGCAAGAGTGTTATCACAAACGCTGTAGAGTGCCAGCATGGCCGATGCCAGTGCCTGGGTGTGGGCATGCATACGGACCTTTGGGTGGCAAGGCAACCATACGTTTCAGGACCTTCTTTACAATTTCTGTGTCACAGTGGCTTTGGGGTGATTAGATGGAAAGTGGGAGAGCAGAGGCATTATGCTTGCTGCAGGTCATGTTCGGGTGGCGAATACTCTGTACCTCCATATTTCTGTGTGTATATTTGGGCCGCTTTCAGGAGGATAATAGAGTTCAGGAAGAGGTGTCTCCAAGCCTCCCTTTGGTAGACTCCCCACTCATTAGAGTGCTGCCAGTTCTCTTTTTGGGTCTCAGAACAGGAAACAAGTCTTTTTCTGTAATTTCTTTAATAGTAGCATTGCTTCGCCTATCAGGAAACTCACAGAGCACAGAAAGAAAACCTCTGCGATGGTTTGGAAGTCTGTTAGCTATGGTGGTGCAATAGGTAAGGGTTCGGCTAGAAAGGAAACAAGGTTGGCAGTTTGAACGCACCAGTTGCTCCATGGCAGAAAGACACCGCTCTTTGTTTCTGTAAAGATTCCAGCCTTGGGAATGCTACCCTGTGTTTTAGGGTAGGCACTGTGAGTTGGAACTGACTTGCTAGCAATAGCTACCCACGGATAGATGTGGTCAGTTTCAGGATATTTTGTTGAAGTAGTAAGAAATACAAAAATGACTTAACTCTTTATGAACAGATTCTGGGATATGATAGAAAACTAATCTTCTCATTATGTTTTTATTTTTCCTGCAAGACAGTAAGCATTTTAAGTGCAGAAACTTGGCTGTATTTAAAAAAATAATTTTGAATTGTCTGAGTGACTTAAAAATTTTTTCTTTGCAAGAATAGAAATGATCAACAATGCTAAAGTCTCTCTGGCCTATGGTCCCCAAACCTGGTCTGTCCTCTTCTCCCCATCACCCACATGCCAGGCACACAAAGGAGGCTCCTATGCTGTTTGTTGCCCAGCAATGGACACACCCAGAGCGGAACCTGAACTTCAGGAGGCTGGCAGGATGGCAGTAGGTAGGCAAGTAGGCCAGGAAGGACCTTAGGTTGCACCCACTTGCCCAGCCTGGCCATCTACTCTCTCTCTGCACTCATGGCTATGGTGCTATGGGATTCATTCAGGGGTCACCCGTTGCCAAGCTGTGATATGTAGCCAGCGTGGGTAGAAGTTCCCATTCTTTCTGGAGGATAGTTTTATTAACCTTAACAGAGTTGGGCTGAGTTTCCATTAATTAAATCTTACTGATTTAAATCTTAAGTCTCACTGTAAGACGTGGGCTACCAAACTGAACCTGAAGGGTCCCTTTCCCAAAGGAAAAGATGTGAACAATTTCTCATCAGTACCTCTTGGACAAGGCTGACACAACCAGAAGGCACCTGATATCATTTGTAATGGCCAGTAGGACAGGGATAGAGCAGTCAGAAGGGGACCACACAGGAAGACAGCATTGGCCTCTTTTGGGCCACTGGCTTTCTAATTTTTCATCAAAGGAGAGTTCCCATGACCTGCATCCATGAGCAAAGTAGGTGAGCAGGGCAGAAAGTTTGAAAAAAAATTAAAAAAACCAGTCAGCCTTTGGAGTCCCTGAGCAGTGCAACTAGTTAAGGTGCTCAGTGTGAGCTGAAAGATTGGAGGTGTCAGTTCCCCAAGAAGCCCCTTGGAAGAGAGGCCTGATGATCTGCTTCCCAAACTCCACCTGAAAACCATACCAAGCACTGTTCAGTAGACATGCTCTGACACGCATGGGATCGCCATGAGTGGGAACTGATCAATGTCTCAAATGAGACAGCTCATCTCAGGATGACTTTGTACAAGTCTCTCCCTTGCTCTGGGCTTTAGAGCCATGCCCTTGAAGTGGGCCTCTGCAGGCCAGCACACAGCGTTCACGAGTTCTTCCTGTTGGCGAAGAACCGTCTAATGGCGCTTCTGCTCGGTTATTGACTTACTGGCAAATTCTTTCAATCATTGAACGCTTATCTCACTGGTTGGACTTTTACTTAAAATTCTTGTCTGGGGCACATGTCGTCAGTGCAGAAAAATGTAAGACACTTTTGCCATGGTCATTAATAAAGGCCCCTGAGGTAAAAAGCCCAAGTGGCTCGTGTTAATCATTAAGCGTGCCCTATGGATGGCACCGGACTTTCACTTTGGCACACAAACGAGTTAGGTGAGTTACAGCCCAACCTGAGTGAGTTACCTGCATGGTAGCTGCAGGCTGGGCTCTAACATGATAACTCGGCTCTCAGAGGAACAAGGTGATTTGAAAAGGAAAGATCATTTCTCCCGTGAGTCCCAACGAGGCAGCAAGAGAAAAAGGTACTGTCTGATTCAGAACCATCTCTCTTTCTCTGTGTCCCGGAGTTTGCTCCGCAGTAAATGTGGTGTGCAAGGGAAATGGGGGTTCTGACCAGCAGCCCTGCTCTCCCGTCTCTCATTGTCTCAAGGAGGCGCATCTGAGTGGGAAGGAGGCAAAGAGGAAACGGAGGGAATGAAGCAGACACAGGAAAAAAGAGAGAAAAAATGGGACCGGATGCACACAGCTCTTTTCTTTGACTGAAAATATGATGCTTACAAGGAAAAAACATGTAGACTGAGCGTAACCTTAGGGAGAATTAGATGATTAACCACGCTAAGAAAAATTGTATTTTTTACTCATTTGATTGTTCTATTCTAGAGGAAAAGTACAGGTCTGAAAACCAATGTGTGAATGCACATTTCTATTGTTTTAACCTCATGACTAGGCACTGAAAGGAAATATTAAAACTGCACAGCCCAACTGGAAACAGACTCTCCTGGGCCGCGTATGTTTGGTGAGTGTAACAAGCAAGTCAGATTTTGGGTTAAGCAGCAAATACTCCTCGGTACTTTTCTTTCTGCGGCCAATGCAGTTTTTAAAAAATGGAATGTTTGTGAACCAGATTAAATTCTATTCCAAATGGGTAAAAAAAAATGCTAGAAAAATTGAACAGTGGAAAGGAACGCTTGCTGCATGCAACTGGGCAATTGATAATTCTTTCATAATGCCTCCTCCTGCCCCCAGTTTTGTTAGCTGGTGCATCAAGGGCAAACCCAGAGTTTGTTTTTTTCTGTTTCTCCAGAAGCTGGCCTAGTGTCCACGGAGCCCTGCTGGGGCTGCATGATGAGACTGCCTGCTCCTGTGAAAGCACACAGTCTCGGAAGCCCGATGCAGCAAGTGCCTGGAGTATAGTAGCCATACAATCTAGGCTTATAGAATTTAATTAAATATAAATTATTTCACGTGTTTACTCCCGACATTTTCTCAAAGATGCGTTTATGTTGTTTTTTCTTGGTGAATATCCACTTCTAGTTCATTATGGCCTTTACATGTTCGGAAATGGCATAACTGCAGCATCTGCCGTTCCAGCCAGTGCTTTCTGAAAAATATTTTGTGTGGATTTAGTCTCTTTAGTGCATATGTTTAGATATCTCCAACCCGGCCCCCTCCCCAAACAAAACCTTTATTGCTATCAAGTCAATTGCATCTCCTAGGCACCTTATAGGACAGACGGAACTATGGGTTTCTGAGACTATAAATGTCTCTGGGAGCTGGCCTTCTGAAATTCAACGTCTAGAGTAAACTGGGAGAGCACACCTTTCTGTTTGTTAAAGCCATCAAGCTGTGGCAGTTCTGTTATACAGGACTAGATGACTAAGGTACCTCTATATGTGCCTACTCTGACTGGTGGGCCACAGTGATGTTTTGGGACTCTGGCATGAGAGCCAGTCCAGAGGCAGCACCCAGTGATCCCCTAAAGTATAATTATTCCCTTTTCTTCAGTGAAAAGTCACTCTTATAAAAGGCCTTAACTCCTCCTGTTGGAGTATCTTTTTGGCAGTGTGGAGGGTCTTTCCTTTAGTGGACAGTCTCCCCTTCTTTTAAATCTTGGTTTAGCAGAGGCTGAGGAACTCCAAATTGACAGGATAGGCAGCAGCAGCTGGCTGGCTCATCTCCCAAGAGCCAGAGGTCAGATAATGGCACGTCCTAGTGAGAGAGCTTTGCCAGACTATACATATAGATATTGGATGCAGGCCACACCCCCAAGGAAACACCTCTTGCAGTAGATCACAGAGAGGAGGATAATTATGCAATACCAAGAACCGTGGCCTAGCCAAGTGAACTCACACCATTCACCGTCGCAACAGGGGACTGTTGGTGATTTTACGCATGATTCTTAGATGAATCTTTTCTCCAGAGCTTGGAAAGATGATGGGTTCCTTTTAAGCCATTAGAGCCATATTCTGATCACTTCTCTAACTTTACCAGTTTCACCACAGCAGAGACAGCGTCTAAGCAAAACAAAACCAAACATGATAGTAATTTTTCAGTTTTAAAAATAGATAACAAACACTATGTTGCTGTAATAGAATTAGAAAAACATTTAATGTCTAGTAATCTTCTTTTAAGCGGACGAGATGACTGTCTGGCTTATCGCTCTGATGAGTATCGAAGGACTACTTTTGACAGGTGAGTAAGATCTCTTTCTAAAGGATTACAGGTAAAACATTATACTCCATTGCTGTTGAGTGGCTTCCGGCTCATAATCGACTCTACAGGACAGGGCAGAACTGCCTTGTGGGTTTCCAAGACTGTAACTCTTTTTCAGGCATAGAAAGGCTCTTCATTCTCCCACGAAACAACTGGTGGTTTCAAACTGCAGACTTTTCGGTTAGCAAAACTGAAGGGAACCATGACCACTACACCAGCAGGGCTCCTCGCTGCCTTATCTTAGTGATTGATCCGTGACACGTGCATCAAGATCTCCTTTTCTTATTTTTTTTGCTTGTTTTTATTTTATTTTATTATTTTTTAAACATTTTATTAGGGGCTCATACAACTGTTATCGCAATCCACACACACATCGATTGTGTAAAGCACATTTGTACATCAGTCTCAAAACATTTTCTCTCCACTTAAACCCTAAAGCGTGTCCTCAATTTTCTTTGCATATCTGCTTATTTTCTGTATTTTCAAATAGTACTGGCTTATTGTGTTCTTTAAGTGGAAGTACCTAAGGTACCGATGAGGGCTAGGGATGGGCTGGGCTGGTCAGATTTGGTTGTGTAGCTGGGAGTGGTTCCTTGTCGGTCTTCTGGTGTTCAGTGTGCCCCTGGGTTAGCTGGCTGCCCCTAGCCGCCCTGGACTGGCCAGGGTGAGGGTGTCCTGGATTATCCTTTAACTGTTCTGATACGGAAATTGAAAATAATTCCACCGATAACATTTTCTTTGTCTGTGACTCCACTGAGGAAAGGATGGGTGGTTTTCTTAGTGTTCTTGAGTTACCTTTACCTTGACCGGGATGGTTGTATGTCCAGGACCATCATTCAAGATGGACAGATCAGTAAAGGTCATGCTCAGCTGGTTACTTTGGGAAATATCAATTAAGGACATCTAAAAGGAAGGGCATCATATTGCCCCAAAGGGAATTTTTAAAGTGATAGCAATAAGCTATTGGTAAAAGCAAAGGGTTATACCCGAACCTCTTATGGAAGAATCCAATGTAACTTGGCATGTGAAGGCCATAACTGTTTTTTAAATTTTTAATTAAAGAAATCCCATTACTGACACATGCTTAATCTCCTCTCTGAGTATGCGAGGCAAAGGCAGAGGATGAGAATGGAGACTCTGATATGGATGGTCCGGGTAGTCAGGCAACAAACTGGGAAGGAATTATTGCATCCATTGGAGGATGGTGCAGGGAGTGAGTCTGGCCATGTGTGGAGGAGAAGAGACTTGAAGACGATACAGTCAACGAGTAGGGGAATTCAAATGGAGACAACCGCTAGACATCTCTTCTCATCTCTAGGAAGTAGAAATACAATAAAAAAGGGCTTTGACACAAGGCCAACTGAACAGACAGTGGGAAGAGGAGAGGTGAGTGGGCTTAGCTAGGACCCGAATATATTGTTGAGGCTCTCCTTCCCAGGAGAAATTCAGGATTAGGGTTCTAAAAGTGTTTCCCAGACCAACATCACCTGGAAACTTCCTAGAAATGCAAATGTGGAGGCTCACCTGAGACCAGTTTGTCTATTACAAAGTCCTTCTAGTGATTCTGACGCATGCTCAGTTTTGCTTTAAAGCATTGGGGAACCTGGTGGATTTAATTTGACCTTAAATACCAGTGTTTTTCTCACTTACCTCCAGTTCCTGTTCTGAGTTTGCACATTGAACCTGAAGAAGGCAGTCTTGCAGGGGGAACGTGGATCACCGTCACTTTTGATGGTAGGTTTGTTTTTTTTAACAAAAGGCAAGTTTTTCAGTTATGGAATGATGACCCTAATGAGGATGGGACTTGAGGGTGTGTCCTTGTGGAAAGATAAGAGACTGACACACATGGAGCTCTTGGACACCTGATGTGGTGGCATGGAAGGGAGGACTTTAAGGACGATGGTCCAAGCATCAGCCAACTTGTCTCAGGGTTTCCCACAATGGGTGATGTGACCACCCCTTGCAGAGGTGTTGCTAACATGATGGCGGGGGTGGGGCTGCGAGCAGAGAGGGGAGGGGGTGTGTTCTGGAGAAGCAGATGCCTGCACTTTATCGTACAGGCTGTCGTACAAAAGGTTTTAGGCACCAGAGGGGCGCTGAGTAATTTTTTCTTATGAAAGGAAGGAGGTGGCAAATTTGGGCACCCGTGTGTAGATAGATGCTCACTTGCTAATGCCGCAGAAGCAGAACACACCACACTACTATGTATCTATATGTATCTATGTTTCTGGCTGTAGCCCAAGCTGTAGGATGAGCCTTCTAGGAAAACGAAGCACAATGATAGGTGGAAGTGCGCAGCTTAGCATTTATTACAGCGTTTCCTAGTATCTCGGTTACTGTCCTTGTAAACAGTTCTATACTTGCGTTCTTCCAAGCCACAAATTAGCATACTCATCCCATGTGAGGAAGGAGTTAGTCTGAGCATTGAAAAATGCTTCACTGTGTATATGGGGATCTGATGAGAGAAAAATCTTTGAGACAGCCGCCCCAAAGTGCCTGTGGAATTGAGTGCGAATTAATTGCAGGTGAGCTTGGTGTGTGACACTGCCCCCGTGTGGCTAGATTTTTATATGCTCACATGTGGATTGGCGCTGCTCAGTTGGCTATTTCCCCATTTTCTTGCACTTAGGTGTGGAGTGGGATCTTCTTTGTCTAGGCAATGGCTCTCAGCTGGAGCTGACCCTGGTGAATGTGGCGGCGCCAGCACTGCCGGCCATCCCCTGTGACGTCGCTCCCGTGCTCTTGGATTTGCCTGTGGTGTGGTGTCAGACCAGGTATGCCTGTCCGAGAATAAGAAGACCAGACAGGACAGTGTTTTCGGTATATTTCAGTAATTCCTGTTAGCAAACTAAGGCAACTCTCACTGTGATCGCAATGATCAGCTACCGCTTTTGCAAAGTTTGAATACACTTCTTCAATGGTTCATACCATGGCTACGGGGTTCAGGGGAGGACGGGAGCCCAGAGAAACAGGTTGAGTTATTTATAAAAATGGAATGGGTTGCACTGTTGTTTCCTCTTGTTGAAATCCCCAAGATTTCAACAAATGTGGCCACCCTTGATGCCTACAGGACTCGTCCACTGGAACAGGTATAATTGCAATGATTGTGCATAAATCCCAACAAAGGAGGTTTGCTTTGGTCCTCAGCGTGTTTACTGAGTTTGAGATGACCTCGGCTTAGGAAACATTGTACGAAGTTCCAGGTCACCTGTTGTCCTACTCCAGTGGCCTAGTTAGTTCCCATTAGCCCATTCTTTCTTTACTCATCTCTTAGAGATGCTGCATGAAATGGATCATTGACGAGTAAGAAAAACACCATTTCCTTTTTTCTGTTCCATTTGTTAGCCAGCCTCACCTTGTCCAATCTCTGTGTGATGAAATCCTAACTCCCCATTCTGCAAAGACTACTTCTTCTCCAAATGTCCAGCTAAGTGCAATAGTTTCCCTCCTCGAAAGGGGGACAAAAACTAAAACCCTCAAACCAAATCCACTGCCACTAAGTAGATTCCAACCGAGAGACCCTATGGGACAGAGTAGAACTGCTCCTTAGGGTTTGGGAGACTGTAAAGCTTCACAGGAGCAGGCAGTGGCTTGTGGATTTGAACTATCAACCTGTGGTTAGCAGGTCAGTTCAATGGCTGAACCACAGAGACAGCAAGACTCCTTGAGAAGAGACTGAGGGGGCCTGACATCCGGCCTGTGGTTGCATCGGTTTTGAGGACTGTTTTTGTCATTAATGCAGAGTGTGCCTATGTGCCGGTCTGTGCACATTATTTGCACTATTCACCCTTCTGATTTTAAATTTACTTGAATAATTTCTAATCCTCTGTTTTGCTGCAGGATTAAATCTTTAATGTCTAGTAACGTTGAGTAGATCTAGGAGGGGACATGTGAAACACACACGTCGTGGTTGGCTCTGTTTCAGAGGCAAAAGGGGACCATTGGAAGTGGTGGAGTGGGGCCGTCAGCTTGGAGGAGCCATGGGGTTTAGATTCACAAGGATTCCCACTTTCTTCTCTCAGATCTCAGTTGCCTGAAGCCCCTGAGGGATTGTACTCCCTGGATGTGTATTCTGGTGGTCAGCTGCTAGGCAGCCTGAGCCAAGGGCCATGTGACAGCTGCACTTTCAAGGTGAGTTCTAGGGGTGGAGGAATATGAAAGTGTGCTTGTACTAGTGACAGGAGCAAATGCCCGCCAACCAAGGAGTCTGCTTTGGCAGGGTCAGAAGAAAGCGGATGGCAGAGACAGGCTCTCCTAGGCTATGCTAATGAGAACTTGTTGGTCAAACTCCAGCTAAACACCTGAAGTCTATTGTCTAATTTAATGCTCACCACCGTCTGATGGGGTCTTGCACTGCCATAGAGTGGATTCCAACTCATAGTGACCCTATGGGTCAAGGTGGAAATGCCCCTGTATGTTTCTAAGATCGGAACTCTTTACAGGGGCCTCATGTTTCTCCTGAGGAAGATACGCTGGTGGTTTTTGATTTCTGACCTTGCAATTAGCAGCCCAACGTGCAACCACTGTGCCACCAAGGCATAACTAGTATCATCATTCGTTCGCAGATGAGTAATTTGAGGCTCAGGGAGATGAAATAATTTTCCCAGGTTGTCCAGGTAGTAACTGACTGAACCGAGATTTGAACGTGGTTCTAAGTCCTCTCCTACACTGAAGCCCATAGAGGAGCCACAGAGATGACCACTATTGATGGGTGTTTCATGTTATAGTTGAGATCCTCTAAGTCTCAGCGGGGAGAAGGGCTCACGG